GAAGGAAACAGCCACAGGGAAAAGGAAAGCGGCTGCTCAGACATCTGTATGGCTATGCCACAGTTCCCACCCCTCCCCACTAAACAGCTTGTGGTTGGGCACCAGGAGTCCCTGCCTGCTTACCAGAAGGCTGTTCCCAGCTCAGTTTACTCCTGTATAGAACTAGCATCACATTAATAAGAGATTCTTTGGCTTTCACAAGTGCTGTCATCTTGTTTCCCCAGGTAAACCAGAAGCTTCCTACAAGACAGATCATCAAGACTCCCATAGGCTCAGTTTCTCAGAGTCCAATGCCATGTTCCAAATCACTTAGAACCCACCCTGGGGAGTCTCCAACCTGAACTACAACTGTTATAGATGCAGAAACAGAATGCCTACTGAGAAAGCTAACTTAAATGGGTGTGGGACAAGAAAATATTGGTTAAATTCTGAAATACCAGGGGCATAGAGTGCCTGGGTGGCTCAGTCAGTTGGGCGTCCGACTTCAGCTCAAGTCATGATCTCACAGCTCGTGAGTTCCAGCCCCGCATCAGGCTCTGTGCTGACAACTCAAGGCCTGGAGCCTGCTTCAGATTCTGGGCCTCCCTCTCTCTCTGTCCCAACCCACTCTCATTCTGTCTTTCTCTCTCTCTCTCTCTCAAAAATAAAAATTAAAAAAAACTTTTTTTAAATACCAGGGGCACCTGGCTGGCTCAGTTGGAAGAGCATGCAACTCCTGACTTTAGGGCTCTGAGTTTGAGCCCCATGTTGGGTTTAGAGATTACTTTAAAAAATTAAATAGATAAAATACCAAATACAATAAAAATTTTAATTAGGAAAAAAAATTAAAAAAAATTTTTTTTTAACGTTTTTATTTATTTTTGAGACAGAGAGAGACAGAGTATGAGCAGGGGAGGGGCAGAGAGAGAGGGAGACACAGAATCCGAAGCAGGCTCCAGGCTCTGAGCTGTCAGCACAGAGCCCAACGCGGGGCTCAAACTCACAGACCACGAGATCATGACCTGAGCCGAAGTCGGACGCTCAACCGACTGAGCCACCCAGGCGCCCCAGGAAAAAAATTTTTAATTGGGTATTATGCCTCTAACTGGTATGAAATTTAGTTTTATCTTTCTTCAGATTGCCCTCCTTCTTTCCCTTCCTCTCTCTCTTAGGGTCTGGATTTTCTAACTAAGGATTTGTTTGTATTTCCCATGCCTCAGGCTGGCCAAGACCATTCTCACCCCTTAGGGCCCAGTGAGATTAGCTTCTGCGTTTATCTGGCTGTGTTATGTTTTCTCTGCTGCTCCCCTCCCTCCAGGTCTCCCCTGTAGTCCCTGCCCTCGGCTGCTGTCTCCACATCAGAGCTGGGCACTGGCTCCCTGCCCCACTCCAGCCCCTCCAAACAGGCCCATTTCCACATCCATCCTCCCCTTGCCCAGGGAGGCTGCTCCTCACCCATGTGCCTCTAAGGGCAGGCACTACATTGGACTCTGGTTACTTTTCTTAGCCAGCATTGGAAGTAAAGAGGACTCTAGTTTCTTTTGTCCAAAGGTCTACCTCTGGTCATTGGTGCAGATTCTTTTCTGCAGCCCATGGTTTTCTCTCTCTCTCTCTCTCTCTCTGTGTGTGTGTGTGTGTGTGTGTGTGTGTGTGTGTGTGTCTGTCTGTCTTCCACTCTTTGGTTTCAATAAATACCTTTCAATTATATACATCTTCGTCTATGATCCCACCTCACCCACTTACATATTTTGACATTTAGGAGGGTCACAGTTCAAAAATAATGTATTACCTCTTACAGAAACCATGTACATTGTGTGCCCCATAAATGATTTTAGATAAACACAGAATACAAGAATCCCAGACTCTCCTGGATTATAAGATCTGTTCCTTCTTTATATGCCCTAAAGGCTTTTCACCTTTGAGAGAATACCTGTTTTTTTTTTAATTTTTCTTTTTAATGTTTATTTATTTTTGAAGGAGGGAGGGAGAGGGGGAGAGAGAGAGAGAGAGAGAGAGAGAGAGAGAGAGAGAGAATAAGTGGGGGAGGGGCAGAGAGAGAGAGAGGGAGACATAGAATCTGAAGCAGGCTACAGGCTCTGAGCTGTTGGCACAGAGCCCAATGCGGGGCTCGAACCCATGAGCTAGGAGATCATGATCTGAGCCGAAGCCAGACACTTAACCAAATGAGCCACCCAGGCACCCTAGCCACCCAGGCACCTGGAGAATACCTGTTTCCATTTAACAATACCATAATCAAGGGCGCCTGGGTGGCTCAGTCAGTTAAGCCTCGGACTTCAATTGAGGCTATGATCTCATGGTTCGTGAGTTTGAGCCCCATGCTGGGCTCTGTGCTAACAGCTCAGAACCTGGAGCCTGCTTCGGATTCTGTGTTTCCTTCTCTCTGCCTGCCCCTGCCATTCCTGCCCCCCCCCCCCATCCTGCTCACGCTGTCTCTCTCTCTCAAAAGTAAATAAACATTTAAAAAATTTAAAAAACAACACCATAATCAGGCCAAGTTAATTTTTTTTTCTTTTTTTTTTTTTTTGAGAGAGGGGGAGGGGGAGGGGCAAAGAGCGAGGGAGAGAGAATCCCAAGCAGGCTCCGTGTTGTCAGTGTGGAGCCCTATGAGAGGCTCAATCCTACAAACTGTAAGATCAATGACCAGAGCCGAAATCAAGAGTGGGACGCTTAACCGACTGAGCCACCCAGGCTCCGCAGGCCAAGTCAATTCTTCATGGCTCCACATAGTCCCATCAGGCCTCAGGAGACATAAATCAACTGGTTGTTTACCCAAAAGTTCTTTTCGGGGGGGAAAAATTCTTTTCTGGATACGTGCTACATAAATAGAGTAAATTCTAACATCCTACTTACAAACCCTATATGTGATCTGGGAACAAAGAACCGTAGAGCTACTATGGAGGGCAGACACCGGGCGCAGGAAGGCAAATCTCTTCAGAGCCTCCAAATCTAGCTCTACATTATTCACCTACAGCCCAGTGTCCCATACCACAAGACTATTTGGAGGATCAAATAAGATAATGACCGTGAAACCACTTCCTAACAAGCGTTACAAAAGGAATTGAGAACGGACTCATAACTGTTTACCAGCTGGTCTGCGTGGAGACACTCCCAGTGACCTTTTCAAACCTTATCAGGACACCAGGAAACTCTCAACAGGGGGAAGAAGCCCTGTTCCTGGATGTGGTGTGGAGAATTTGTTTTCCTTAATACTGTTTGAAATCCAGCCCCTCACCAAGCACCAGTTTTGCATGCCACTCAGGAAATGGACAGGCAGAGAAGTGCTATCTGCCTCAGGTCAACAGCCACTTAACTGGCTCTGCTTTGCTCCCAGACCTCAGGGAGGCTAGAATGCAAGTGGGGCCTCCCCAAAACTCTGAGGAAACCAGGTTGTCTAGGTCAACAGCTTCTGAGTTTATACAATACATGGCCTGAGGTCTCCTCTGAACCCTGGCGCTGTCACTGCTCAGGAAATCTTACACACAACCTTCATCCTTTTCACTTTAATCACTGGGTGAATTCAATCCCACAGTTCACTGACTGGATGACTATTAACCTCTTGATAAAGAGCAGTTTCAGACAAAGAATCCTGGAAAAGTAGAGACTCTAGGGACACAAAATTCTTGCATCAGATTTATTAAACACACATTTTTTGCACATCTGGACAATAAGCAACCAGAATGCAATACAACTACTAATTAGTCCAAGAGTACCAGCCTCTTAGTAACCCCAACAACTGACATCGCTCAGAAGTTCAAGACTGCTCTGGCAGGCTTTCTTTTTACTGAGGACAGGGATGTGCTCATCTGTAGCATGTCCAAAATACAAGAGAGCAAGCATTCAAAGCAGACACCAGGGAGGACACCTGAAGCACTGAAAAGAGCTCAGAGTACGGGCCAGGAGTCTACTGTTGATGCTGCCAAAGTCCTGGTAAAGAGACTCCCTACTACAAATGAAACAAATTAAGACTTGCCCTGTTCTGAGTGTCTCCTCACCTCATATGAGAGACCAGACCTCAGGGCAGAGAGGAAGAAGACTCTTTTCCATGAGAGGCATCTGGGTGGGATCAGAAGCCCTGACTGAATTCTGAAATGGGTAGGACCACATTTTGTAAGAATAAAGCCCAGGCATCAGACATCACACAAGGGCTGGTGTTAACAGAGGAAATGCTGACATGACCATGGGTCACCCCTAGGTACTATCAAGTGAAAATGATTCTAACTTTGGAACAATCTTGAAAGCATGTGTCCTGTGGCTTAAGTAGAGTCATCATATTCCCTTTCACTCAGGTGCAACAGTTGTCACATGTGGCTTCAGCTTCTCTCGTGGATGAGGACTGTGAACAGCATTTGGGGGTGGAGGCAGAGAGTGGCTCAATAGGGTGCATTCTGCTGTATCCCCCTTTTGGAGAACCTAGAAGTGCTACTAGCTTCCAGATGTGTCCCTCTCTACAAACAGACTCAACAGAACCTCAAAAGCACCCCTTGAGTGCTTCAAAACCTCAAAAAGCACAGAAGGTCCTTGAGTTCACCCTGGGAGGGTGATACAGACAAAGCACCAGACTGAAGTCTAACACACCTGGGCACACCAGGCTAAGTCACTTTCAAGCAGGGTCCCATTGACCATGAAGGAATGAAGAGTGAGAGATTTAAGTGATATGTCCAACGTCATTTAGAAAGTTAATAGTGAGTTGGGACCAAGCCAGAATCCTTATGAATGCAAGGTCATTCGTCCTATGTCCCAGCTAACATGCATGTGAAATCAGTATGATGTCACCACAGACTACTAACAACATGGAAAATGAGGCTGTACTATACTGCATTTATGTGTGCAGTGGAGGGGTTTTCTAAACCACTGATTGTCATTTGGGTTTTTGTTTTTTGTTTTTGTTTTTTTGTTTTTAGTATGAAACATTAGCTCAATCCTTTGATTTCTGAGAAGTAAATGCCCAGGCTCCCACTGGAAGCTTCAGAAGCTGCTGCTGCCCATCCTACAACACTTACCTTGGCTCACTCAGATTACAGGCAACCCGAGAAGATTGTTCCCTGGCGAGCCCTGCTTTTAAGGGACCAGCATGGCAGGCCAAGACTGGAGACAGCTGGTCCCAGAGGGGAAGACGGCACCTCCACCTCTCAGGGCATGGAGGGAACCAGCCAGACTTGCCAGGCCCAGGTGGACAATGAAGCCAGGCATCCCTGCACCAAGAAGAGGTCACAGTAAGGTCTGCACATCTCTATAGCACCCATTGCCATGGTAACTACAGAAAAACAGGAGATCTGGTTTCAAGAATCTATAAGTGTGTCCTCCATGTGTTGTGTTTAAAATCTATTCAGTCCCATCTTTGTCTACTGAAAATATATGTCTACTTGGAAAAAGTAGTGCAATGGATAGAACTGTGTCAACATAAACTTCATATAAGATTAGCAACTCCATAGGCCAAGGTATTGGTCAATCTAACAAGGTGGCTCCTATAATCTCACTTTGGGCCTATAAGGGATTTTAACATGTTTCCACAGGCCTACACAGTCAAGTATTATTCCCAGGCTTTTTCACAATGACTGTCTAGATTCTGACAGCAGGGTCGAAGAGGTGGGTGGGTGGAGTGGGGGGCAAGGAAGCAAGCCCAGACTCAGAACTGCGAACTCCAAGAGGCTGGTTCCATCCTACAAAGGCTTGGTCTATGGCAGCAGGGGACCAGCAACAGTGGCTACTAGGACTTTCTCACAGTAAGGAGTTCAGCGTTCCCAGCAGGCCCTACCTCCACTGGTAGAAGGGTAAGGGGTACAGACCAGTCAGCCTGCTGCTGCCTACTCTGGCTCCCTGTATTAGTGAACAAGGTGACAAGGGCTCCTTGGAATGGAGGCTCTAGTTATTTTCCTCTCTCAGTATACCTAGCCTCATTTGTACACGAATGACTAAGTCCCATAAGAGTAACCAGGGGCCAGAGTATGGAGAAAACATGTTGTAAGTAATGTGAAATTACCACAGTTAGTTCTAACAGTGGCCCTCTCTTCTATCCTAAAAAATCTCTCAGAATAAGATCCAATTTACAGGGATAATCCTTAAAAGGCAAGACAGTCATAAACTTTACTGTAACCTCAAAACCATGCTCTTTTATTTTTCTTTAGTTTTTAACATGTTTATTATTCATCTTTGAGAGAGAAAGCACAGGCAAGGGAGGGGCAGAGAGGTAGACAGAATCCGAAGCAGACTCCAGGCTCTAAGCTGTCACCACAGAACTGAACACGGGGCTCAAACCCATGAACCTTGTGATCACAACCTGAGCCGAAATCGGACGCTTACCCGACTGAACCACCCAGGCGCCCCAAAACCATGCTTTTTTAAAAGGCAGAAAAATCAGGGGCGCCTGGGTGGCGCAGTCGGTTAAGCGTCCGACTTCAGCCAGGTCACGATCTCGTGGTCCGTGAGTTCGAGCCCCGCGTCAGGCTCTGGGCTGATGGCTCAGAGCCTGGAGCCTGTTTCCGATTCTGTGTCTCCCTCTCTGCCCCTCCCCCGTTCATGCTCTGTCTCTCTCTGTCGCAAAAATAAATAAATGTTGAAAAAAAAAATTAAAAAAAAAAGGCAGAAAAATCAAAGTGATACAGGGTGTTACTTAGCAAAATGCCCTTAAACCCTAGATATTCCAGCTGTTTAACGAAGCCTTTTAGCATAGAGGGGAAAAAGTAACAGATCATCATGCATTAATTACTCTGCCTTATCTGTGAAATTTCTACAACCATGAGGTTTCTTTTCCTCATTAGTATCAAGTTCCCAGGACACGATCTCCCCATGCAACAGTTGTGGCAATAACTCAATGTCTGCATAAATGCCATATGTGCCTGTTAATTCTTTTCTTTTTATTCAAGTATAGTTGACATACAATATTGTGTTAGTTTCAGGTACAACACAGGGATTCAACATTTATATACATTACAAAATGATCACCTTGTTAAGTGTAGTTACCATCTGTCACCATACAAAGTTATTACAATGTTACTGACTATAATTCGTAAACTATACTGTACATTCCTATGACTTACTTATTTTATAACTGGAAATTGGTACTACTTAATCCCCTTCACCTATTTCACCCATCCCCTCTCCTCCTTCCCTCTTACAATCATTAGTTTGTTCTCTGTATTTACAAGCCTGTTTCTGTTTTATTAGTTTTGTTTTTCAGATTCTACATATAAGTGAAATCATACGTTATTTGTCTTTCTCTGCCTGATTTATTTCACTTAGTATAATACCCTCTGGGCCCATCCATGTTGATACTATTAATTTAGACACAAATGTAAGTATCTGTATCTCAGTATACATCCTATGACATGGAGACTGAATGCCTCCACCTGAAAGTTTCTATAAGATGGGTTCAACACATCCAATAGCAGACATATCCATACAAGTCCTTTCTACACAGCACAATGCTAATATGCTGACATGACATAGAAGGAGGTGAGGCAATGGCTGAATTGCATGATCTCCAGAGTTGACCTGTAGCAGGCACCTAACAAATGTTAACCTGAACTGAGCTCAGCCAAGAAAGAATACACTGGCACACAAGCCAAAAGGTAGAGTAGGGATATGGTTAAGGCACAGGCTCAGGGCGCCTGGGTGGCTCAATCGGTTAAAGCATCAGACTTCAGCTTACATCATGATCTCATGGTTTGCGGGTTCAAGCCCCGCATCAGGCTCTATAATGACAGCTCAGAGCCTGGAGCTTGCTTCACATTCTGTGTCTCCCTCTCTCTCTGCCCCTCCCCACATGCACTCTGTCTCTCAAAAATAATAAACATTTAAAAAATATTAAAAAAAAAAATAGGGGCGCCTGGGTGGCTCACTCAGTTAAGCATCCGATTTTGGCTCAGGATCTCGTGGTCCGTGAGTTCAAGCCTCGATCAGGCTCTGTGCTGCCAGCTTGGGGCCTGGAGCCTGCTTCGGATTCTGTGTCTCCCTCTCTCTGACTCTACCGCATTCATGCTCTGTCTCTCTCTCAAAAATAAATAAGTGTTAAAAATAATAAATAAATAAATAAATAAATAAATAAATAAATGGCACAGGTTCTAGTCAGGCACAACTGAGAGCAAACCCTGGTTCTGCCACATACCAGCTGGGTGGCCTTGGACCAGGTACTTAACTTCTCAGAGGGTCAGTTTCTTTATCTGATAGTAATAACAACTATGCAAGGTATGTAATGAGAATTAAATGATAAGGTACTTATAGAACTGCGACATATCATATAGCATTGATTAACAAACTGAAGAAAGGGCCACTTAAAGTTAACACATGTTCCCATATACTTTTACACAAGAAATGGAAATACCCGTCTGTGAAAACCCTTACAGGCGACGTCAAATCTGTACTGGTGTCACAGACTTTGAGTTGAAGGCTCACTGTGAAGAACTTCTGTTTTCATTCTGACAACACTAGATACCAAGAAAGGAACACAAAAATCTTGGAATTTTTAGCAAAATAAACTTTGCAAAGGCTCTAAAAGAAGATGATCACCTAAGTTCAAACTCTTTCAGGGACACTCTGAACATGAGTTAGATAAAGGCCCCTTTATGCTGTGGAGGGTCAGGATGGAGGCCAAGGGCATGTTATTGTTTTATTTCTTTAGAGTAGCTCATCACTATAAATAAAGGTTTAGATAACTGAAAAATTTACTTGACTTGATTACAATTTACAAATTGTAATCAATTTGATTTGCACTTATATCTTATGACACTCAATCCCCAACCCAATGGTTCTCAGCTTGGGGACCATTTTGGCAACACCCCCCCCCCGGCCCCCCCCCCCCCCCGCCCTGCCCAGGGGTTATCCGGAAATGTCTGGAGACACGTTTGATTATCACAAGTGGGAGGGGGAGGGGGTTTGGCCACTCAACTGGTATCAAGTGGGTAGAGGCCAGGGATGCTGCTCAACATCCTGCAATGCACAGAAAGCACAAACACAAGTACATTCAAGCACACGTGTGTACACATACTCACACACCCACCACCACTACAAACTGTTATCCAGCCCAAAATGTCAATAGCACCAAGGCCGAGGAACTCTGCTTGAATCTCAGAAGCAGTGCTAAGGTCATTCAAGAAAGGACATGCATCTAATACTCTTCCTGTCCCTTCAGTAGTTTACAGAGACATATGAGATTCTGGCACTATGCTTCACACTGTTTGTCACACCTTTATCAAATATCCTTTACAGAGATTTCTGGGGAAACTGAATTTCAACCAGAAAACAGAAGAGGCTGTTACCAAATGGGGCAACTTGGCACTGTCCACAGATCACAATGAAAGGGGTCACACTACCTTCCTGGGAATAGGACTGATTTGTATTTGGATCACTAGGAGGCAAAACCTTTAAAGCTCTGTAACAAAGCCAGGCAGAGGTGAAGCCCCTGAAAGAAATGTGTTTACTGACTTCTTTGTGGAATGGAACAAAAAACTGGAAGAAATCTAATGACTGTTTAGCGGTCTGGTGTGTGACTGACAAGTAAGCTAGGAATCAGGAGAACTAAAGTTCTACGACCAGGCCCACACTGGCTAACTACATTTTAGGACTTCCCCAGAACTCCAACATCCTCATTTATAAAATGAGAGGCATTCCTCAGGAAGCTGCAGGGAGGATGGCATTTAACATGAGGCATAGCAGGAAAAGCTGTGGGCTTCCCCCATCTGTTTCAGCTGGAGCAACTCCCCTATTCCTTGCTATACTTCCTCCCAAAATGGGGTTGTGCTACTTCTAAAAATAAGGCCTAGAAAACAATGAACTTGATCATCTTGGAGGCCTGATATTATATTAACAGCGACCTAAGCAAGCCTTTTACAATCTACCATAGCACTTGTATCCCATGACAGTATTTATTTATTTCCATTCCAGATTATAGTTCATTTATCTTTCCCTCCTACTACCCAACACAGGGCACCCAGTCAGGGTTTGCTGAGTCAATGAATGATTTCCAGAATTTGAGGTATCCTCAAAATCAAGATTATTCTCAAAGAGTGGATGACAAATACAACAGTTAAAAATGAAGCCCAGAAATAAGAAAAATGGCTGGTGAGTAAGCATTTTTGAGCAGTGTTTTTACTGGAGAAATTTCTACTGATGGTGAGAGATGAGAATGGCCATGTGGGGAAACCAAGCATATAATA